TACATTATTTTCTCTTGAGAATGGATTAGCACTCACCATTAGGACTAGGTACAATATTTATGAAATGTTCACAAATGATTAATTATGTTTCATTTACAGATAGGCTCTAATGGGAGACATTTTTATTGCAAGTACTATTTTAATGAATTGTCTGTCTTTATGGATTCACGTACAAGACTGAAATAATTTATTTTTACTTCCTTCCCTCATCTTTATACCTGAACTCACCACTGCTTGTCACATCTTTCTGTTTCTTCTATCTGAATCACACGCTCATGCCCCTAGTTGCCTAAACTAAAAATCTTGGATATCTGTGACTCACACTCCCCCATAGCCCATTTTCAATCAGTCAACATATTTAAATGATTCCTTCTTGTCTTCAGAATAAAAGTCAAATTTATTTTATCTGCTGTATATGGATATTCACAGCCTGGGCCATTGGAATGTTCCCTTTACACATTCTCCACCAAGTTAGCCTCCTGTGGCTCCCACCATGAGGTGCTCTTCTATATTTCTATGCTTCTGCCTCTGCACTTTGCTCAGCATGTCCACCTTGCAATGCCTGTTTGTTCAAGTATCCTTTTCTTCCTGCAGCTTTCCCAGACTTTTCACTTCCCCTTAGACAGAATCAGCAACTCATCAATGTTTACTTCTCTTGGGTTGTCCTCATTTGTCTATGCTTCTAACTCATGCATAAGATGGTTAAGACTTATTAAGCCTCACTGTGTTTCTTTTTTGCATCTTCTATGTATACCATGTAAATTAAGCACCTAGTAAGCACTTATGGAACTTTGTTTGGCTAATGTGAAAATCGTATTAAAAGAAGAAACAAAGCAACCCTCTTGTGTTTCAGTGGATATTCCACATCCCTTGTGAATACTGCTTTGTGGCTGATGATGGGATAAAGTAGATGCAAATGAAGAAGGCCTTTCAGCAGATCAGTCCCCCACAGAATATACTTATGGAGACAAAGCAGTTTAGGGCACAAAGGTGAATTACAGATTATTTTTGTACCAATAACTTGCTTTTCATTTTTTAAATTGCTGCATTATAATTATACAAAGTACTGGGATTCATTGTGACATATTCATGTATGCACATAACATAAATTGCTCGTTTTATTTTTTTATTTCCCTTCATAGTTCCCCTGATCCTGTTCTTCCACTCTACTAGTCTTCCATTTATTTATTTATTTTTAATTGGTACATTGTATTTATACATAAAAATGGGATTCATTGTGATATAGTCTCATGTAAGTTTAGCATAATTTGGCCTATTTCATGTGTAAAAAGGGTCTAAAGAATGGGAGACAATCCCTGCCAGCTACTCTTTTGACAAGAGATCAATATCCATAATCTGAAAAGGAACACCAAAAATATTCACAGCAAAAATCGAATCAAAACAAAACAACAACAAACCGAACCAATAAGTGTGCAAATGAGCCAAACAGACATTTCTCAAAAGAAGAAATCAAATGGTCAACAAATATATGAAAAACAAATGTTCAACATTCTTGGCAACCAAGGAAATGCAGATCAAACCTACACTGGGATTTCATCTCAAAACTGTTAGAATGGCAATCATCAATAATGTAAGTAATAATAACCACTGGAGAGATTGTGCGGAGAAACAGACACTTCATTGTTGGGGCTGCAAATTACTACATCAACAATGGAACTCAATATGGAGACTCTCTTAAAGATTAGGCTGGAGCTATAGCTCAGTGATAGAGTGCTTACCTAGAATGTGTGAGGCACTGGGTTCAATTCTCAGCACCACATAAAAACATAAATAAACAATTAAAATAAAGGCATTCTGTCCATCAACAACTACAAAAACATAAAAAAATAAGATTAGGGATAGAACCACCATAAGACCTAGCTTTGTCACTCTTTGGCATTTATCCAAAAGAACTGGAATCAGCATACTAGTGATATCTGAATTTCAATATTTGTAGCAGCACAATTCACAATAACAAAGTTACAGAACCAGCCTAGATGTCTGTCAACAGATGAATGGATATATTAAGTGTGATACACACACACACACACACACACACGACAGTTGCATTCAGCCATTAAGAAGAATGAAATTATGTCTTTTGTTGGTAAACTGATGGACCTAGAGAACTGCAGAATAAAACTGACCAAATAACTTACTTTTATTTCATTATGCTCTCTTCTCACCCTACAGGTTGGTATTTTGTGCCAGTTGGCTAGAAAAGTAGCTACCACAGTTTACAGACCACAATAAATGTATTGAATATATTTTATATGAATGAATGAATGAAAGAAAGAATAAATGGAACTGTTCCAATTCTTTCATTTAAGATAAAAAAAATAGAAGCAAAGATACAAAGAATAGGAAAGCAGAGACTATCCCCATTCCAATTTGCTGCCATATTCTTTACATTGAGCTAGATTACTTCATCTGTTATGCAATCTTATACTTTCAAGATAATTATGCAAATATTGTTAGGTAAACAACCTAAAGTTCAAAATCTGTGTCTATGATTACATAAGTAGGTGTCAACCTTCTTATTCGTATGAAGTATATAGTGCATAATGTTTCCTTTGCCACCTGCTGGCATAGTATTCATAGATAGAAATGTGACTGATCACTGGTGACTAGAAAAGCTCTGTTTTGTATAATCTGTATTGCTGAGGTGGTTAATGCAAAGAGCTGTGGTCTAGAGGCAAAATCACCCGAATTGAAGGCTGAAGACTAGAGTTCAGTTACCAATCTTGTTATTTTACTAGAGCAGATCCTTTATTGTCTTGGTAACTTTTGTAAAGTTTCTCATTTGTAAAGCAAGGCATGTAATTCCAGCTTTGTGAGTTCTATGATGAACAGATGAACAATGACTAGGAAAATATAGTTTCCCATATAAAAGTGAAGTACTATTATTATTAAGCTTGTGCAAGCATGAGAAAATGTATATATAAGGGCTTTCTCAACTGCACATTTGTTCCCTTTTATTCCCTTTGTTACTGTTTTTCAATTTCAGTGTACCCCAGTTTTAAATTTCTGTGAACAGATGAAAGCAGGATAAATAAGCATTTCCCCATAATGTGATTTGTCTACAGTACAGCATATTTAACTGAAATTGTTTCTAATTCTTTTGAATTTATAATTGAACATAACTTAGTAATAGAGAAAATAACAGTTGAAACAACATTTGTTGTTTGTCATGAGCTTCCATTCTCATAAGGAAATCAAAACAATCCGAGAACAGGGAAAATATGAAAATTAATATCGTGGCATAGACACTGGTATAACTTTGATGAGAAGAAAAAAAAAAGAAAAAAGCTACACATGGCCAGCTTGTTTTGTTAATATTTGAATATGTGACTTTTCAAATATTTTGTATTAGCTGTGGCTCGATGCATACATTAAAAAATGAACATGATCAAAAATTAGTCTGCATTGCCCAGTTTTTTATCAATATTGTCCTTTATTGCAAACAAGGTACAGAAAGTATCTTTTGCCTTGTTGATGACTTCATCTATGCTCTTTAACGTTAATATAAGCCTGTGGCTAATTATCAATGTTTGTTATTTCCTGTGCTTTCTACGTTTTATATAAAATATCTTATTAAGATGAAATAAAGTAAAAGAGCCAAAATAACAAGGGAAATGAAGCTATATATTTCAATACAGCTTTAAAAAAAATCTCTGATGGTTGCATACTAGAGAGCCCTGAGGGGGTTAGGTGTGAATAGAACCTTAAAAAGTGATCTAGTTCTGACCCTTCTTTTATTGTTTAGGAAATGAGGCTGTGCTGGGCTGAAGAGGAGATATGGTAGTTTTCAGAGAACAAAGGACTGGAAAATAGCTCGAGGTCTCCTTAGCTGCACTCTCCCCATACTATACTATATCTGAATGTAATCTAACACATATAACTTAATTCTCCTTTATCCAAATGATATCAGTAAAATAGGAAGCCTTGCTCAACACTTACGTTAGTTCTATGGCTGTGGATGTGAACGATGATTCGTATCTGGGAGAAGACCTAATAAATTGGATGATAGGCGATCTCAATAGCCTGGAACAATTGGCTATATCTAACAAAAGGGAATTTTGCAGAGACAGATGCAAAGTCAGCACTTAACAATACAAAAACCAGTGGCAAAGTACGTGAAGTGGGACAACAGAACATGATTATTTTTCAAAGTGGCTGTTTTTCAAGAGCTGAAAATTATATGAGTTCACTCTTTTCTTGCTCAGATCAACAGAATTTTATTTAACTTAGTAGAGGTACATACAGAGCAACAAAGGTGCTAAATCTAGTCTACCCTACCCACCTGGAATTCTAAATATAGGTGTGGACACTGATAAACTGAGGCATGTAACAGGACAAAAACCATGTTAAATTGACTCAGTTCTAAGTAACTATAGGAAAGGCTAAAGGAATTGGATATGTCTCTCTGAAGAAGAGAAGAATTCTATTTGTTATTTTGGAGAAATGGAAATGACAAGAACGTGTACAGTGCAATGAAAGAGGCTGAGCCATTGAGTGGAAATAACTTGGAGTATGTTGTCTGAAGGCTTGAGTTTGAGGACTAGGACAATCACTTACCAGAGATGTAACCTTGAGAAAAATCACTAAGAAACTGAATCTAAGGTTCTTGATCTACATTGTAAGATTGTTTTGAAAATTAAATTAAACAACATACGTAAAACCCCTATAGTACATGGCATGTAGTAATTATTCAACATTGACCTTTATACCTGTCAGGCAGAATCAGAGACTTTTATTAGATGTTATTGGAAAAATGGGTTGCAGATGGTTATATGAGCAGACATAAGAATGTTAGTTGTTCAAGATTCCTGGAAATGTTGCATGATATATCTGTGTGATGCTCAACAACATTCTCTTCTACTTTATGCCAGTAAAAAACATGACTCAAAAAAAGTTTATTCCTTATATGAAATATTGTCTTAAAAAGTTGTAAGACATTTTTACCACTACATATCACATAAAAGTGATGGTTTAGGTACCTGTAAAGTGCAGAAAGGGGCCTCTTGTTTCCGGGTTTTGGTCTGTATGGTTTGGGTTCCCCTGCCATGTTGATATCTGCAAACAGAATAAAATAGCATTGATTAAAAAAGTAAACGATTTTAGAAAAGAAAATCATAGAGTTTTTTTTCGATTGATTATGAAAATGTTGTATGCCATTCATTCATTCAACATGTATTTAGTGAGTGCCTATTTGATGCCAGGTACAGTTTGCGACATGTCATGATAAAATAGATTCTTGTTCTTGTGGAAGTTATGTTTTATTGGGGGTAGGTAGACAGTAAGAAACAAACACAACAGGAAGAATATATAACATATTAGAAAATGATTAGCATTATTAAAAAAAATGCTGAGCAAGGTACAAGGAATTAGGATGTGGGGCTTGGGAGGACCTCCAAGGTTACCGTAAAACTGCATCATACAGTACTGTTTCCCAAGTTGGGTAAAGGAAACATGGGTTTGCATTATGATTTTTAAAAATAATTTCATCTACTAATTTTTAGTAACTAATAATTAAAAAGAATAATGAGAATAAAATGATAAATTATGTGTTGGTAAATCATCCGGTCAGAAACAGTAGGTTTTGGTGAACAAGTGCGTTCACCAAGAGAGAATGAGATATCCTTCTGATTTTCACTTTTTGCCAAGAATGTTTCAGTGTACATAAAGGTTTGTATGAAATAAAGCCTTAATCATAAAAAGGGTTATTAAATTTCCCACAATGCCATTTCCACTTACATAGAAAAAGAAGCTAGAAGCATGCAATCATAATATGGACCATATTTACTTAGGGAACAACAAAACATCCTCAGCAACTTGAATGTGATGCTACATAATTCTGGGGTGGTCAGAGGGAGAAAGGAGAATATCCTTTGCCTTCATTAACTGAGGATATGATTGAGTCTCTGAGATCATAGAAGATGCCTAAATACATGACAGTGGGTGTTTTATATATATATGTACATATAATATACATAAATATTATTGTATATATAGTTGATCAAACTTGAACTAAAGAAATATCTAGACCCACTTTAAAGAAATTGGGATGTTGAGTGAAGAAGGTTTGGGAAATGCAATAAACAAACAGATGAAATAAAGTTAAAATTTCAAAGGATGATTAAAAAGGAAAATCTAAAGGATAGACACTTCAAGAAAAGCTTCTAACAAAGTGAAGGATATTATTTGGAAAGAAAAGAAAGGGAAGGGTTCTATTGCTAGTGCAGTGGACTAAATACACCTAGTCACCTACCACTGAAAACACTATGAATGAAAAATAAGTATATCCCTTAAAATAAATACAACATGAAGCTAGCAAGTAAGGAGTTTGAAAAACATCCTACATATGAACAAAAACAAAAATTAAATGGGATTAGACACTGAACCTGGCATGCCCTTAAAGACATTTGTTGAGGCCAGAACCTGGGTTTTAGTTTTCCTACTCTTTTGGGTCAGAGGGGACATGAGATGGTGTGGAGATGAGGGAGTTGTTGTCAAGGATTTTATCAGTAGAAAGAGAAGACAATTTCTTATTTAATAAAGGATATCTACAAAACATGGACAGTAAATGTTGTAACCAATAATGAGACATTGAACAAGTTTTCTTCAAGATCAGGGACTTTAAAATGGCATCTACTATAACTATCTCTATGTAAGATTGCTCTTGATAACCTAATCAGTGTATTAAGTCAGGAATGCAATATTAGATATAGGAAAGAAGATATGAAACTGTCAGTAATTTCTGGTCAATATAACCTCCTTCCTGAAGCCCACAGATTGTTATAATTAATTAGAAAGTTTAGTATGTTGATTGGATGCCAAACCAATTATACAAAATTCAAATGCATATCCCTATATAGCAATACATATGTTTAATACATAGTTTAAAGCAAATCTCTCTCTCTCTCTCTCTCTCTCTCTCTCACACACACACTATATATATATATATATATATATACCTAAGAGTAAACCTATCAGAAAAATTGAAGGAACTTAATGAAGAAAAGTATAAAACCACATTGAAAGATTTTACAATAAATTTACACAAATACAGAGAAATTGGAAAACATATATGTCAATCTTCCCCAAGGTGATTTATGGTTTCCATGCCATTTCAATAAAATCCCACAATATTTTTTATGTGTATGCACAGTTTGAAAAGTTGATACTAGAATTTATATGACACCATAGAGACCAAATATAGCCATGATACATTTAGAAAAAGGAAAAGAGTTGGTAAATTTGCCTTATCAAGATTTATTTCTCTAGCTGTGATGATCAAGACTGTAGTATTAGTACAAGAGAACAGGGGCCAATTGAACAGAATAGGGACTTCCAAACTCACAATCCCATATGACATATCTATATATGCATCTATTGGCATATATGGACATCTGAATTATCACAGAACTGGCCTAGAAGATCTTTGAGGAAAATATAGGCTTTTAAATAAATGGTGCTATAACAATTGCTTCCTCACAAGGGCAAATATAAAACTGGACCTCTATCATACCCTAGACAAAAAAATATCAATTACTAATGCATAAATATGAAAGACAAAAATATAAAAATTTTAGGAGGTAATAAAATAGAAAAATTTTATGAGTTCAGAGTATGGAAGGATAATCTTAAACCAGACATAAAAATCACTAGCCTTAACACATAAAACAGGTAAATTCTACTGTATTGAAATTAAGAATTTCTGTTCATCAAAAGTTGCTTAAAGACAGTGAAAAGAACAGCAAACTGGACAAAATGTCCTTGATAAAGGATTTGGTTTTTGAGTATATTAAGAACACATTTATATCACAGGAGTCAAAACACCAAAGAGAAAATTAAGCAAAATCTACTAAATGCACTTGCAGAAGAGGAAAAGCAATGGCAAAGAAACACATGAAATAATGCTCAGTTTCATTAGTAATAGGAAATGTAAGTTAAACCCCAGGAATTATAATTGAAGCTACTGAATTTGCAACAACTTCAAGTGCCAATTTCAAGTGCCATTGAGGTTTTCTAACAACTGGAAAATGTGTACAATACAAATATAAATGTAAATTAATGAAACTATTATGGAAAATTTTTTTCAGCTTTTAATAAACTTAGAATGTTCAACTGTTTGATCCAGGAGGTTTGTGAACCTCGAAAAGTCTTGCATGTATGTACCATAAGATATGTGACAGAGTGTTTGTTATAGTACACTGGGTAAAACAAACAAACAAACAAAAAAAAAAAACTGTACAAAAATACAACATCAGACGAGATCGGGCACGTTCAGGGTGGTATGGCCGTAGACTAAACAAAAGACCCAGAATAGCAAAAGCAATTCTAAGCAGGAAGTGTGAGTCAGGCAGTATAGCGATACCAGATTTCAAACTATACTACAGAGCAATAGTAACAAAACCAGCATGGTACTAGTACCAAAACAGGCGGGTGGACCAATGGTACAGAATAGAGGACACAGAGACCAATCCACAAAATTACAACTTTCTTATATTTGATAAAGGGGCTAAAAGCATGCAATGGAGGAAGGATAGCATCTTCAACAAATGGTGCTGGGAAAATTGGAAATCTATATGCAACAAAATGAAACTGAATCCCTTTCTCTCGCCATGCACAAAAGTTAACTCAAAATGGATCAAAGAGCTTGATATCAAATCAGAGACTCTGTGCCTGATAGAAGAAAAAGTTGGCTCCGATCTACATATTGTTGGGTCGGGCTCCAAATTCCTTAATAGGACGTCCATAGCACAAGAGTTAATAACTAGAATCAACAAATGGGACTTACTCAAACTAAAAAGTTTTTTTCTCAGCAAGAGAAACAATAAGAGAGGTAAATAGGGCGCCTACATCCTGGGAACAAATTTTTACTCCTCACACTTCAGATAGAGCCCTAATATCCAGAGTATACAAAGAACTCAAAAAATTAAACAATAAGATAACAAATAACCCAATCAACAAATGGGCCAAAGACCTGAACAGACACTTCTCAGAGGAGGACATACAATCAATCAACAAGTACATGAAAAAATGCTCAACATCTCTAGCTGTCAGAGAAATGCAAATCAAAACCACCCTAAGATACCATCTCACTCCAGTAAGATTGGCAGCCATTATGAAGTCAAACAACAAGTGCTGGCGAGGATGTGGGGAAAAGGGTACACTTGTACATTGCTGGTGGGACTGCAAATTGGTGCGGCCAATTTGGAAAGCAGTATGGAGATTCCTGGGAAAGCTGGGAATGGAACCACCATTTGACCCAGCTATTGCCCTTCTCGGACTATTCCCTGAAGACCTTAAAAGAGCGTACTGCAGGGATACTGCCACATCGATGTTCATAGCAGCACAATTCACAATAGCTAGACTGTGGAACCAACCCAGATGCCCTTCAATAGATGAATGGATAAAAAAAATGTGGCATTTATACACCATGGAGTATTACGCAGCACTAAAAAATGACAAAATCATAGAATTTGCAGGGAAATGGATGGCATTAGAGCAGATTATGCTAAGTGAAGCTAGTCAATCCCTATAAAACAAATGCCAAATGTCTTCTTTGATATAATGAGAGCAACTAAGAACAGATCAGGGAGGAAGAGCAGGAGGAAAAGATTAACATTAAACAGAGACATGAGGTGGGAGGGAAAGGGAGAGAAAAGGGAAATTGCATGGAAATGGAAGGAGACCCTCATTGTTATACAAAATTACATATAAGAGGTTGTGAGGGGAATGGGAAAAATAAAACAAGGAGAGAAATGAATTACAGTAGATGGGGTAGAGAGAGAAGATGGGAGGGGAGGGGGGATAGTAGAGGATAGGAAAGGTAGCAGAATACAGCAGTTACTAATATGGCATTATGTAAAAATGTGGATGTGTAATCGATGTGATTCTGCAATCTGTATTTGGGGTAAAAATGGGAGTTCATAACCCACTTGAATCTAATGTATGAAATATGATATATCAAGAGCTTTGTAATGTTTTGAACAACCAATAAAAAAAAACAAACAAAAAAAATACAGCATCAATTTCCAGGAGATGTGATAAATAAATTAAGATGTTTT